TCCCTGTCCGTGGCAGGGGGGGTGGAACTAGGTGAGGTTTAAGGTCACTTCCAAACAGACCATTCTATGATTCTATGCCATGACAGAAAGCCACCGTGCTCACGTATCAACCCATCCAAAAGTTTACAAGTAGCCTAAACAGCAAAAATCAGAGCTATGGAATATATTCCATAGGAGGCACTAAACACAGATGGATCTTCAGCCTCAAAAAAAGAGAGGGAACCTAAAGCAGTATAAAGATAACTAACAGGTATACATGGAAAAGTTACTCACTAGTTTCTCAAGTAATGGGGATTAAGGAGATATGTACGTAGAAAAGTGCCAGTTAAATGAGCAGAGGCAAACAAAAACTAAGAGAAGGGATCACCTTTTACCTGTGTTTAAATAAACTATAGAACTCGTTATCACAGAACGTTAAAGAGGTTAAGAACAAAAGCAGGTCCCCAAAGGGAAAAAGCAAATTCAGAGTCAATGGCCCCACTGACCTTCTGGCACCTGGCCAAGACAGAACTCGGGAAGCAAAACACAAGGGAGAACTTTCACCAAAAAAACCCAACCGACCAACCAAAAAAACCACATACACACAAAAAACCAAACCAAACCAAAAAAATTGCAACCCACTACGCTGTTTCTTCAAAATAAAAGAACTGGAAGAAGAGGAGAAAAATGAATGGCCAAGACGAACACAATGGAGTGAGCTAAAAAGGACCAAAGCCGAGTTTGGGACAAGGAATCTGCTACCTAGGGACCAACACCCAGGCTGAGCCAAGCTAGCACCTACCTACTGCTTGAATGAGAAATTATGGGGAGGTGCATGCACTTGAAATGCCTTCTTCGATGCAACAAACATCAGTGAACTGGCCTTTTCACATGAGAAAAATAATTTCTAACACACCTACTACTAGTAGTTATAAGGTAACTAGTACTTTGCCGTTCAGTGTGACCCTGCAGATGTTACAAGCGGCTGGTAACTAATCTATTTCTGCATTAGGATAATCTGACAGCATTCTTAAAACTCTGCAACTCGTTAACAAATCCTATTAACGCGGCAAATTAACAAAAGAAGCAAAGGCTGCCAAAATCAGCTGAAGCATGGAGTTCAGGGAAGCAGTTAATAGAATACTTTTGGCAAGAAACTAATCAAGTACTGCAGTTTCTGAAGGAAGTAACACACGTGGTCTACAAAGTGCCAAATTTGGGGGTTTATGATGCCTCACTTTCGCGTCTTCTCTGCACACCAGAGACTTTCTGAGTAGCACTCACGGGAAGATTTAGCCAGATTCACAAAGGTGTCAAATCTGGGCTCTCCTCGGTGGCCTCCTATGCAAATACCGATATTCCTCAGTTTCACTTAACTTGGATATACCAACTATTAACAAAAGACTTACTGACACCTCTGAAAACACTTCAGAGAGTCTTTTTTTTTTTCTTAAACACAATCCTAAAGCAGCTTAATATCTTTAAAAACTTAACATGCTAGACTCCTTCCATCCACCACTAAAATACCAACATACCTGTCACACCTAAAAATATGAGAACAATCATGAATTTATTCTGGTTTTCTGACAGTTATTTTACCATTGTTTCAGAATCATAAATCATAAATTTAGTCACTCATTAACACTTTCCCAGTGGGTTTCATCTCACAAAGTCATGGAATCTAAACACTCTCCTCTCTTATTAAAGAGAGAAGAGGTTATAAAAGTTTCATTTTTTAATGTTTCCAGTGAGGCATATAGGCAGAAACACAACTTGCAAATTTCGATATCCACACTTTCTATAGGTGTGATTCCTAGTGAGGTTACGCCTACAGTCAGCAATTGTGCTGGTAAAGGAGCTGGCTGGTCACTGAGATCTCCCACCATGACCAGAAGCAAGTCAGCAGGAGCTGTGTCAGCCTGGCACCCGGCCATTCTGCGGAGCAATGGGACTCTGGGAGGGCAGGGGCACTCATCTCCTGCCTAAAATCTATCCCCCAATGTTCCTCTTTCCATAGTTATCTAAGAAAACTATTCTTCAATCCTCAATTTCAGCACACACTAAGATCAGGAGACAATGCAGATCAATTTCAGAAATGCTCAAGTCTCCAGATTTAAGAAGCAAGTGTCCCTTTGTCTGCCATACCTTTGCTGAAAGACAAGGTTATTTTTCAGACGAGGTATGTACACGCTACATTTCAAACACTCACCCTGGCACGAGTTTCAACAGCAAAGCATCAAACAGCAGCTTACCACGGCTGAGGTCTCCCCAGCTAGAAACTCGCAAGCATCCCAGTTCTGTTCTACAGGAAGAAATCTCTTCTTTCTTTACACACATTTATAGACACAGTTTTTTTCAAGGAACTCACTGTGCTGCACTGGAAGCAGTTTTGGAAAGTAAACAGAAAACAGGAAAGGATTTTTAAAAGCCAGAATCACAGATTTTTTTTTTTAACCCTGGTAACGTTACCACCCTGCACATGACAGCCAGCTTCTGGTCATCACAAAGACTGACAAGCGGAGAGGTTCTTGCTTGACTGCCCCTCACCATACCCCTTGGCACACTCACCTCGCCTGAGTAACTGTATTTTCCTTTCAGGATCTGCCGATACAAGCGGGTGCGGTTGTCATCTTCAAAGGGCATAGTGCCACTCAGTAGAATGTATGAGATAACACCCAGTGCCCACATGTCCACTGAGTTCGTGTACGGCTTCCTCACCAGTATCTCAGGAGCAATGTACTCTGGGGTCCCACACGTGGTTTTCATCAGGCAGTCATCTCCCTTCTTCCGAGCACTTGCCAGCCCAAAGTCTGTAATCATGATTTTGGAATCTGTTCCCGGATGGTAGTACAGCAGATTCTCTGGTTTTAAGTCCCGATGTGTGATACCCAGCGTATGCAAATACTTCACGCCATCTAACACCATCTGCAGCACACGCGTAGCATCTCTCTCAGTGAAGGAACCTTTAGCGATGATTCGATCAAACAGTTCTCCTCCAGTCGCCAATTCCATCACCATATACACACGGTCCTGGGTCTCAAACACCTCAATAAGCTGGATGATATTGGTGTGTCGAACCCGCCGCAGCACACTAAGCTCCGACTCGCACACTTCCCTCCCCTCCCGGTATTTGGTCTCTATCATCTTGATTGCATAGGGCTGCTTGGTAGCCTTGTGTTCCACCCGTACAACGCGGCTAAAACTCCCTCTCCCGATCAGGGCTTTAATGTCGTACTTGGCTGTCACTCTGGGGTCAAATTTGGCGCGGTATTTAGCCACTTTGTTCTTGCGGGGTTCGGGCTGGTCCACGTGGGCAGGCAGGTGGTTCCCAGGATACAGGTTAGCGTGATGTGGAGGCGAGGGAGAGCCAGCTTTGATGACAGTCCCACAGTCATCTTTGATGAAATGCTTATATATGTCATTGTGGGCTGTGTAAGATTCAACTTTTTTAACCAGGTCTAGCTGCACATCTTTGGGGGGCTCGGGAAGCACTTTGCTTGTCCCACAGCCCATCACTGAATGGTGTTAATTCCCTATCAAGGCATTTTTCCAGGGCAGCATCAGCAGCAACCACATCCGGCCCAACTCCCGC